CACCTATAAAGGGAACTATAATTTCGAAGAAAAGACAAGGTCCTATTCACGATATGGAAAAATTATTGGTGATATGGATAGAAGACCAGATACAGAAGCGTGTACCCTTAAGCCTTCTATCCATACAGGCTAAAGCAAGAAGCCTGTTCCAAAGCCTGAAGGAGCAGGCAGGAGATGGATGTGATCAAACCTTTACAGGAAGTCATGGGTGGTTTGATAGATTTAAAAAACGCTACAGTCTACACAATGTTAAGGTGAGTGGAGAGGCAGCTAGTGCTGATGTTGGTGCTGCCAAAGCTTTTCAGGAGGAGCTAGATGAAGTGATTGTGGAAGGGAATTATTTGCCTGAGCAAATATTCAATGTGGATGAGACTGGATTATTGTAGAAGCGCATGCCTGAGCGGCCATACATCAACAAAGAGGCGAAAACAATGCCAGGATTCAAGGCATTCAAGGACAGAATTACACTTCTGTTAGGGGGGAATGTTGCTGGTTTCACACTAAAGCCCTTCATGATCTATCATTCAAAGAACCCCAGGGCTTTTAAACATGTCAGCAAGCACACACTGCCAGTGTTTTATTGCAGTAATAAGAAAGCCTGGATGACCTTAGCACTGTTTGAGGATTGGTTCATGACTGGTTTCATTCCACGAGCCAAGGAGTATTGTCTGCAACAACGGATTCCATTCAAGATTTTGCTGATTTTGGATAATGCTCCGGGACACCCACCACACCTGGACGACATGCACCCTCATGTTAAGGTAGTGTACATTCTACCTAACACTACCTCTGTCATCCAACCCATGGATCAAGGTGCTACTGCTGCCTTTAAAGCGTATTATTTACATACGACCTTCGCTCAGGCTGTTGCTGCTACTGAAGGTGAGAAAACGCTCAGGGAGTTTTGGAAGGAGTACAACGTTTTGTCATGTATAAAGATCATTAGTGCAGCATGGGATCAGGTTACAAAACAGTGCATGAATGGAATATGGAAGAAAGTCCTGAAAAGATATGTGAACAGTTTTAGAGGATTTAATGAAATTGAAGTTATTTCGGATATTAGTAACAAGATAGTGGGGTTAGGTAAACAGCTGGAGTTAGAAATTGATAATGAAGATGTTGAACAGTTGGTGGAAAGTGTAGCAGAAGAGCTCAGTAACGAGGATCTTATTGAACTAGATGCACAGAAAATTGCAGAGGAAGAAGAGAGACAAAATGTAGAAGAAGAACCTGCACCCCCCAAAAAGTTTTCAGTGAAACAAATGGCAGAGGCATTTGCTACAATCAATAAAGGAATGCAAATGTTTGATGGCATGGATCAAAATTATGAGCGTTATGACAAAGTTGACAGAATGATCCAAGATGCACTTTCTTGCTACAGAGAATTTATAATGAAAAGAAAAAACAAACTGTGCAGTCTAAATTGGACTTCTATTTTAAAAAGTCCCCCAGTGCTGTCTCCTCACGCCCCACCAGTGCTGCCTCTTCACTCCCTCAAGATGATCCAATACCTTCAACCAGCAAGTTTCCACAGTCCATAAACATGTCTGAAGAAAGCGACATTGTTAACCCACCCAGCCCTGTCTCCTCCTCTGCTTCTTCCAGGTAATGTAGTCTCCATGTATAATTAGAAAATTTTGAGGGCTTCGTGTGCATTCAGCTGACTACATTAAAGGTAAGTGCTCAGTCATACTGTATTCATTCCTCATTATTTATTACTTTTACTGTACTGTATTTCATTGTAGATTTATTTTTTATTTTTTTTTTTTTTTAATGTATCTGTCGGACTTACGACCAATCGGACTTATGACCAGGATTTGGGTCCCTAACCCCGTCGTAAGTTGGGGAGCACCTGTATTGATAATATATGCAGTACAGGGAACTATTTTTTTTTTGCACCCATCAGCCGCTTGACTCAGCCACCAGGAGTCAGTTTGGCTTTGTTGACAGTGGAGTGAACATTGATTTTGTTGGTGTCTTGAATATTTTTGCATTTTTACATTAAAATTATTGGTCATTCTGAAACTTAGTTAACATATTGATAATATATAGCGCAGTGCAGTGTTGATTTAAATAAAATACCTGTAATCTTGAATTACAACTAGTGAACTTAAAATTTTATTGGTGAAATTACTGCATCAAGCATGGGTCCCCTGAAAGGTGATTTCTCCCCCATTCCCACTTCCTTCTCCTCCACCCCCACTTCTAATTCCAATCATCATCATCAACCAGGAACTTTCTACATACACACCTCAAAGTAAGTGTACTTTACTGCATTTTTTTTTTTTACTTTGTACTTTTCTGTGAGCTGGAACTAATTATCCAATATCCCATTGAAACAATGGATTCGGTTAACAAAATTTTCAGTTAACAAAATTTTCAGTTAACAAACGACTCTGTGGAATGAATTGTGTTCGTTAACCGAGGGACCACTGTATTACATTTTCACCCCCCAGGCCCGGATGTGGGTCAGTGACCTGTGCCCGGGTGGGCTAATCCCTGTGCAAAAAAAAAAAAAAAAACTGGCAAAGAGAAAGTGAAGAGAGATTATCAACTAAAGGAGAGTTAATGGGACGAAATGCCTGATTTCAGGAATTGCTGTAACTTTGACAACACTATTGAAATGTTAACATACATTAATACAGTGGTCCCTCAGTTAACGAATGCCTCGGTTAACGAAATTTCGGTTAACGAATTACCTTCCATAAGAATGTTCAGTTCGGTTAACGAATTCCTTACGAATTTTTCCCAACATGTTTTCGCATGCTTTCGCCTGCTCACCAGCTGTAGTATTCGTGTCATGATCGTAATGACGGCTAGCCTGTTAAACCTAATGATTCATATTACGCTTACACGTCCACAAAACCTTCCGAGTCTCCCAGTGGAAATGTCCTCCGTTCTCTCTGTTTCCTTGACGTCATCGAGATGTCGTATGTTTGTTAACCGAGAGTGTAAACTCTTTCTGCTTCCGAGACCCTGTAAACCTTTTTTCACCTATGAATATCAGAGACTGATAATCATAGGGAAATTGTGGTAGGGAGGTTAACTCAGGAATTAGTTAATATTCGTGAAGGGAACTTTAAAATCTGCTCCCCGTGTTTGTAGTAAGGCACTGCATGTGGGGACCTGTAGCCATCCAACCTTTTGTGATCAATTTAATTCTTCCTTTTGATAGCTCAGTCAGAGCATTGTTTGTAAAGATAATAGTAGGGAATGAATCTGAGTTTGTTGTCTCAGTTTCAAACGTCAGAGTGTTACAGTAACGTAATTCAGTGAAATGGTTAAGTAGGTGGAATCCGTGACTTTGGCGTGGGTGGAGGACGGCGGTTCGTTTTTCAAACCAGTAAGCCGTCTCGCTCCCCACCCACAGGTAGGTCATTCCACCTTCTCCGTGTTGTAATTCGCCATTTTTAAGTTATTTGACCTAATTAATAGTTTGATTGTGCAAGTGTTACAGTAACATAGTTAAAGTGCTTTGAGTGAAGTATTTTACGTCCTTAATGTCCCTTTGAAACGGCGGTTCGTTTTTCAGGTGAGTAAGCACCACGATCCTCCACCCACAGGTCCTTATCGCAGCCTAGACCGTGTCTGTAGCGTGGATGACGCATCCACTAGTCTGGGGAGATGTCTGAGGTCCAGTAATCGGTTATCCCCATGAACCCCAACCGTCAGAAGCTCCACTACCACCTATGGGCCCCATAGCTGGCCAGTATTCCCATAATGCTATGCCCACATGGTGAACCCGGATCGTCAAGCCCCACAAACAACTGCCAGCCCCCCATCATTGGTGGATGAGTACAGTACATAACTCAGTAGGGCTATTTGTGTGGTGGTGTTATTCCACCGGAATTATCGGAGTTTGTTGGAAGGAGTCACTTGGTGATGAAACTCCCATGGCGGCTGCTTGAGTATTGCCCCTGGGGGATGGAGTGTTGTACTGGCAAGTGCCACTGGTTTTAATGGTGCTAAGGTGCTATGAGAGTTTATGTGTGTTTTGGTGTGGGTACACCCAATAGGGGTGGAAGTAAATTGAGCTTGAGGGCATGGTACCAGGAGTTCCTATTTTGGGTGCATACAACGTCTTTTCTGTAACCATTTTTGTTTTAATAAACATTGTATTTGTATGTTGGGTCTATGATTAACCTATAGTATTCACCGTTGTTCTTTCCCTAATGCTCGATACTATAATTACATGTACCCATGGGCCTTCCTCTCGCGTCACGCTACCAGGTCAGAGTATTAACGTAAGTTGTTGTAAGAGTGCCAAGCCCTTAAAGGGTGGCAGCTTGCGTTGCGCGCTCTTACATTAGTCCGCCAATACAGTAATCGGTTTTAGGGCTTAAATTCGTTACCATTTGAGTAAATATCAAGAGGGTTGTACTATTCAATAATTTTCCATGTCCTATATTAAATTTTTTAGTCATTTTAACAATTATTTAACATAATTGAAGTACAGGGAACTAGTTTTTAGCGCACCAAACAGCCGCTTGACTCACCCAGAATGGCACCAGATTGTGTGTCTGCTCAGTGGAGGAAGCATCTTGCTTGAGACTATCTTGAACATACTCTATTTTTACGTTTTTACAGTACAATTATTGGTCATTCTGAAATTTATTTTTCATATTGACAATATATAGTGCAGTGTTGATTTAAAGAAAATAATCTTGAATTACACCAAGTGAACTTAAAATTTTATGGGTGAAATGGCAGCATGAAGCATGGGATGACTTCTCTTCCACACCACTGCCTTCACTTCTCCCTTCTCCTCCACCCCCCACTTCTAATTCCTATCATCATCATCATCATCAACCAGGAGCCTTCTACATGCACACCTCAAAGTAAGTGTACTTTACTGCATTTATTTTTAGTTTGTATGTAATTTTCGGTGAGCTGGAACCAATTACCCAAAATCCCATTGAAACAATGGTTTCGGTTAACGGAATTTTCGGTTAACGAACGACCTTCTGGAACGAATTGTGTTCGTTAACCGAGGGACCACTGTAGGAATATTACAGAAAATTCATTCTCTATAATAGCTGACTTTCCTGGTTACATAAATACAGCAGACCAATACAGTGGTGTGTGATCTTTTTATCAATTCAACATTAAAGTACCTTTGACTCACCTTGTCGCACACAAATGTTTCATGAGACTTCTTGCGCTGCTCTGGTGTCATTCCAGCATGGTACTTCTCACAATTTATTCCTACACCTGTAAAAAAGACCAAAGTCATTCCAAAACTACAATACTCTAATTAACAACGATCAAGTTTTGATTTCAGTCACACCTGCCTTGAATAACTCCTGAATACAGCTATAAATTAGGTAAGGGGTGAAAAAACAATTGCAAGTACTGTACTGTATTGCACAACAAAACACCTTATAAGAGGTCTGTCCCTTTACTTATAAAAGTAGGCTGACAGATTATTGCCCTAAACTATGCAGCTCCTTAGTGTTGCCTAGATCATCTACAGAAGGCGATACAGCTCAAAGATCCAGTGGCATCAGGAATTAGGAGCACAAATCTTCCAGTAAGTAAATTTTGCAGGGACCAAAAAGTTAAGCAAACTGCCAATTAGTAAAAGACATTCATAAACCTCAAACCAAGGAGCTGCCACACCATATGCACTTTCCTACAATCTCCACTCGTAGGGTTGCTGGTGTATTATCCAGGTTGGATGTGAGTAAGGTGCATGGACTGGACGGAATATCCCCTCGTGTTCTGAAATTCTGGCCCCTGAGCTTGCTCACCTCTTTTGCCTTTGCCTCAAAAGCCAAACTTTTCCTTCTTCTTGGAAGCATGCCTTGGTTCAGCCCATCCCAAAGAAGGGTGACCATTCCAATCCCTCTACCTATTGCCCCATTACCCTAACTTCATCCCTTTTTAAGATTTTTCGAAACTATTTTAAACTCATTTTCTTCGTCACCTTGAACACCATTCTCTTTTGTCACATCACCAGTATGACTTTCGCCAGGCGAGATCTACTGGTGATCTGCTCTCCTACTGCACCCATCTTTGGTCATCCTCTCTTAGGGATTATGGGGAAACTTTTGTCATGGCCCTCGACATCTCCAAAGCATTTGGCAGGGTATGGCACAAGTCTGCTTTCTAAACTTCCCTCTTATGGTTTCTCTCCCCCACTTTGTTCTCTAATTTCTAGCTTCCTTGAGAACAGATCCATGGCAGTTGTTGTTGAGGGATCAATCTCTCACTCTTTCTCTACCAATAGTGGTGTCCCACAGGGTTCTGTTCTTTCACCTACTCTCTTCCTTCTTTTTATCAACGATTTACTTCACACTAAGACTAATTCTATCCATTCTTATGCTGATGAGTCTACTCTTCACTCTTCTTCACATTTTCCCCTTCCCCCTAATTCTCGAACTAGATCATTTTCTAGAGATGATATCATTACATCTATCAATGCGGATCTGTGCAGCATCTCCGAATGGGGAGGTAGAAACTTGGTTAAATTCAATAAGTATTTACCAATTACACTTTCCAAATTAGATTATCTCCCACCAATAACATTTCAGGATGCAATCAATCTGCCAACTTCTAAAACAGATATGCTAGGCCTCACCATTTCCTCTAATATGTCATGGAAGCCACACATCCACAACATTGCTAAAGCTGCCTCCTGAAAGCTGGGAATGCTGTACAGATGCCATAGCTACTCTACTCCTGAGCAGTTGCTTCAAGGGATTCATTCATCCTAACTTGGAGTACTGCTCTCATATCTGGGGTGGCTCTTCTTCTGTCCAACTGTTAGATAAGGTGGAATCAAAGGCATTTCATCTAATTGACTCTCCTCCTTTAGTTGATAATTAATCTTTCTTCCCTTTCTCTTAACCGTCACATTACTTAACTCTCTCTCTCTTTTACAGGTACTTTAACGGGCAATGTTCGGTGAATTTGGCATCCTGTGTACCGCCGGCAAGGACGAGGGCTCATAACACTCGTCTTGCCCGCGGTCCCCACAATTTCTCTGTGGATGTTAATCACACTAGAATAACCTATTATAGCACATCCTTCTTTCCTCACACAGCCAAACTGTGGAATGCTCTGCCTTCTTCCGTCTTTCCATACTCATACAATCTGTCTCACTTCAAGAAGCTGGTTTTCCGGCATCTTCGTGGTGTAGATTAATATAATGTTTTTCTTTTCTATTTTAAATTTTTTTTACTCTTATTTTTTTTCCCCCTAGGTCCCGTTGTGGGTCGATGACCTGTGCCCGGGTGGGCTATTCCTCGTTTAACCCATACGCCCCGGGTGACATACCGAAACGCCTGACTAGCGCACCTCGGGTGACGTTCCGAAAAGCAAACCTTTTCCTGTCACTGTTTAAATGCCCAGCACAGGTTATCAGGTTCCAGTGTGACTATTTGCCTGTCAAGCCACACGCTCAGTCACAGGGAAGCTTCCTGAGCATGATTATACCTACTTTTGTTTGTTTCATTTTCAATGCTTGTCCATTTTATCATGTTGTATCAAAGAAATATTGCTAAAAGTAGTGTAGTTGTATTGTAGAGTAGTATTACTGGAAAATAATGCTATGATTATGTTATAAATGTATTTATTTGTGGAATTATTATTAATTTATGCATTACTTGCTCTACCAAACACAAAGACAGCCTGTCGACCGACTGCGTGTGTGTTGCCGAGCACTTTTATGAAAAATAATGCAAATATAATATTCTAAATGAATTATTTATAGCAAATAAGTATTATGATCAGTAAATATCTGCATTACTGACCATCTCGGACATACAGGCAAGCAGAAAATGGCCACTAAGTGCGTAGTGACCACGAGCGTCAGCTGTCAAAACAACACTGTCCCTTTATCTCCCTCACCACTGCTGCCACAGGGAAGTTTCTAGAGGGTCAAATCAACCTTCATCAAAAGAGGTAATGAAACCCAAAATATCCACACATAATTTGTAAAACTGAAGACAAGGTCACAAAAGCTTTTGTTGGAATCAAAGAAGGAAACAGTAGAGGAGTCAGACAGACCTGAAGGAGTAAGAAAACAACACCCTTCTACACTGTAAGGGAGCCATCATGTAGCAATTCCCCTAAACTGCCTTAGCTAAGAGATCGCCATAAGGACACACAAATGATTGACAAGAAACTTTCCTACGTAGTTAACTATACAAAATACAGTAGTACCCCGATTTACGCGGTCAATTGAACCCACAGGGTACCGCGGAAAGTGAAAACAGCGTAAAGTGAACAACAGAACATATGGGATTAATTCCAATAGAGACTGGCCCGACCCCCAAACTCCACTTTTTCCGACACAATACCTATGTTGTAGTAAAAATAACATCTAAATTTTATGATGGTATGCTCACACAATTAATATTTAAGAGAAATACAGTCGCCAGGTTATGTCCATTCAAATAATGGACTCAAATCCCCCCCCCTCTTCCCAGCTCACTGGCCCCTACCTCTCTGAGAAATGATTGGGTGAAACACTAGATTTTAACGTTTAGTAATAAATAATACCTCAGACTAAAGTTAGGATAATATAATTGACATTTCTGGATTCCTTGCAGGTCAGGAAATATTTTGAATGTAAACTTCATATATTTTGCACAAAAGATAAAATACTTGCTTTGTGTAAACCAAATTATTACATTAGATCTAAAATTTGTATGTCTAATGCAAAATCCATGATGTTTACATTCAAAATGATCATCATATTGTAAGAATTCCAGCAATGTAAATTATATTCTGGTCCAGTAATTTGTATGAATTTTATGAGCTAAAACAAATATCTTCAGTTAATAAAAAAAAAATATTCTTCACGACACTATCTGTCAATCAAAGTACCCCAACTTGCCTCCCCCCCTCTTCCAACCGCGCCAGATGGTTGGTCAGTCCCAACCCTCCCCCCACCCCCCACCTTCCCTCCCTACCAGAGAAATGTTGGGTGAAAAAAACCAAATTATTACATTAGATCTAAAATTTGTATGTCTAATGCAAAATCCATGATGTTTATATTCAAAATGATCATCATATTGTAAGAATTCCAGCAATGTAAATTATATTCTGGCCGGGTAATTTGTATGAATTTTATGAGCTAAAACATATATCTTCATTAAATAAACAAAGAAATATTCTTCAAGGACACTATCTGTCAATCAAAATACTCGGCCCTAGCTGGGTCGGTCCCTCCCTCCCTCCCCCCACCTTCCCTCCCTACCAGAGAAGCTTTGGGAGAAAATAGTAATTTACATTTTTAGTAATAAATAATAACTCAGACTAAAGTTAGGATAATATAATTGACATTTCTGGATTCCGTGCAGGTCAGGGAATATTTTGAATGTAAACTTCATATATTTTGCACAAAAGATAAAATACTTGCTTTGTGTAAACCAAATTATTACATTAAATCTAAAATTTGTATGTCTAATGTAAAATCCATGATGTTTCTATTCAAAATGATCATCATATTGTAAGAATTCCAGCAATGTAAATTATATTCTGGCCGGGTAATTTGTATGAATTTTATGAGCTAAAAAAAAAAAAAATTATACTTCACGCATATATGAGTAGATGCACCGCGGAAAGTGAAAGTCCGGTTCTGGCAAGGTACCGCGTAAATGAGAAATCGCGGAAAGTGAAACCGTGTAAAACGGGGTATTACTGTATATAATTTCATGCAATTTAATATGTAACTATACATAATTAATTAATGAGCAATGGTTAATAAACTGGGGACAGCACAGATAACTAAGAAGAGATCTCACCATTAGCCCAGGCTCTTAACACTCATCTAACTTAACAGTTTAGTGACCTAATCCCACATGGGAGATACCACAACCTCACCCAACTGGGTGAATAGCCTAACTAACTCTACACATCTACAGTCTTTTAATTTCTCGTTTTTCCAAATTCACTAACCCTCTCTATTTTTTTTTCTGATTTTCCTGTTGGCTTCTTCAATTCAGTGATGGAGCAGAATTTATTCAAAACCCTGTTAATATGGTATACTTCACTTACTTGCCCCTTCACTTGTAATCTAATATGCTACTCTTACCAGAACCCAGAGCTCCATCTGAACTTTGGTCTAAATTAGATCAATTCTATGGTAAACATAAATTGTCCCATAATGGCTCTGGACATTCCTGCCACTTAGTTCCCAACAGGATGAAAAAGAGAGTGCGGTAAGTCACTTTACACCAGCTTAGCTCAGGGATTGAATAATTTCCTATTTTTTATAACCTTTTAACACTGATCATACAAGAATTCTACTAAAACATATGAATGTAAGAATTTCAAAATGCAGTTTCAGTTGAGTTTACATTTTATGCTTTTTGTACACACTTGTACAGGTATTACCTACAGTATTTCTTATTACCTCAAGTTATCCCTATTTCCAGATCCCTACATTAACCATTCAATTTATCTGGAGTTGCTTCTAATAAGGTGCTCTTCAGAGTGTCTTTGCAACACTGGAACCTTATTTTCTAATTGAGTGTTTAACACCCTCTCTCTTACAGCAACTAGAGTACAGTACTACAATACAGTATATTAAATCCAATAAGGATTTCCACTACAAATTAGCAAAAAAAAATTATTTGTTTTCTTTTTATACCAACAGCATTACATCATTGTGCAGTAAGAAAATACTACTAAAGCAAAATTGTCTTCACTGGGTGATGATGAAGATTAACGTATGAGGCAAACCAGGTATCTGTGAGCATGGGCAAACAGGATATGTACAGTAGTCTCTAGGGGTCCAGGTGTTTGGACCCGAGAAGAAAGACGCCACTCAGAGCCTCAGATCAACATTTCCTTAACCTAAAATTATTGAACTAGCACATTAGCACCTGCAGAAATTTCTCTAGGGTAGGGCTGAGCAAAAATCAGTAGTCCAAGTCATAAAATATGATAGTGATAGAAGCAGAGGGAGTGTGGAGTGTTATAAATGAAGACTTTCACTTCTTGGTAGTAGTTTTCCTCCCTATTTAATTTTTCTCTCATTGACATGATGTGATGGACCCAATAAAGTGAGGTAAGATAGACCCGACACAAAGTTTGACTGGAGATCCAGGACCCTCCAGAACTCCCACCTCCTACAGTATGTCTATGCCTATGAGCTTGTTGATATGGGTTGGGTACCTCTCTTTGTTCAACCATAGTAGACAATGTCCAATGTTTAAGTGAATTATTAATATATATGATGCAGTTAACCAATGGATTCTAATAAAAAATTCTGGTTAAGTTTAAAAATCATTCCTAAGGTTTCATACCCCGAGAGGAGTTCATTTCAACAATTTCTTTTGGTACAATACACATTACTTTCAGACCTCACTTAGTAAGCCTGAGGGGAGATCAATCCCCCACTTTCCCTTCTCCCTTGGCAGAAACAATGTTTAATCCTAAACCTTAAACTCCACAAAATTATCGTGCTTTGAATCCATAATAACTATAACAGACAGTTGTAGACTCTAAAGTGCCTGCTAACTTAGCAGACTTGTCTCATAACTGCTTGCCAACAGTCCATTAGGCTGACATACCTTGTTTCCATTCATGGTGGTCCAATGCCATACCCTTAGTCTTACAGTGTTTATATGACAGCAATCAGGTCCCTCTACCCCTATGTGAGGCTAAATCCAATCTGCCTAAGGATTCAGTTTAGTGGAGATATCACCCACAACCTTCTATTACTTATCTTCTCTGATACACAAAGCTATAGATTATAGTTTAACCACCACTATCACGAAGCTTTGTAATGCAGGTAAAAAATAAGAATCTCTTTTGTATATAACAGAACCTTAAGAGACAAAATGAAAAATTTAATTGAAGAAGTTGCAGAGCAAAAAATTCTAAATACAGAATATTCTTTTGGATTCTACAAAATGTGACAAACATTAAATATCATAACTTGAAGACACCATAAACAAGGAAAAATGAAAATGAAGTCACAGTGAAAAAAACTATGCAGAGCTTCTGTCGACTCCAAAGTAATTTTTAACAATTATATTATTATGCACTAACCTCTTAATGCTAAAGTTATATCATCTGTTGTTTTCTTAGTCGGACAGTAAATAATGGTGGATCCATCTGTAGAATATTTTCCATTTGGACCTTTGGTCATGAGAGGTAGAATGTCAGCTAGAATATCCTTTATCTTGGGCTTCACTTCTAAATAGAGATTAGGTCGGTCAAAGCTTGTGATGGTCACCTCTGGTGATCTGAGTGTAGAAGAAATAACAGGAATAAGCAAATGGCATTCATTAGTAAAGAATATAGTATGTTAACCTAATATTCCAGTAATGTGGTGATTAGGTTACTCTCCTCACAAGCAAGTGATCCTGGGTTTCATTCATATGAAGGATGAAATTTGGGTCAATTTAATTTTAGTGGACATTAACCCTTAAACAACAAAGATCGTAAACAGATAATGAGTGCCTTTTGTCTCACAATAACAGTGATCATCTACCTCCTGTATGCTGTATACGAAAGCCAGGATCTTTCCGTGCCATAATTTTTATTTAAAGTTGGCACTCAATTTCTGCTTGAGTGATTTATTGTGACTTGTGACAAAACCATCATCACGTTGGTCCATCCCCACAGCCATCCTTCCACCAGTGGTATTTTTTGTCGTCGTATAGTAAGTACTGTATTGTATTAGGCAATTCCAATAAGTTGTCATGCAGGAAGACTCCTTGCCACAGTGGTAAAGCTTTGAAACCCAGAAAAAAGTAAAATATTAGGGGAATCAGAACATGGGAATGAGATTGAAGAACTGGTAGATTCACTAAGTAAATTTGGAAATGATAGCTCATGTGTCAGCTTCATGGATACTGACAAACAAGTCATTAACATAGAAGTGCTTAAAGACCAGGAGGAAAGTGAGGTAGAAGTGCTTCTCCACATGTTGCATACCGTATATACCCGTGTATAGCACGAGTTCTTAAGACCAAATTTTTGGGCAAAAAGTTGGGGGTCGACCTCTATACGGGTAATAGTTTCGTTAGGTTGAAAAATATTTACCAGTAACTACCAGTAAACAATGGAAACGATGCACCAACGCACCACCCGCTGTGAGTGTCGGTACAGTTGCCAGGGCAGATCTCTTGCGTCATCATAGCAAGCCCAAAGTAGCCAAATGCATGGTATGGTATGCACAGGAGTATGTAGAACATAAAGTATTCATTTTTAAAAGTTTATTTATAGATACATAAATTTTTGTTAATTAAATTTGAAACATCAATATGATGTGAGTCAGGTCATCTACACACAGTTGCCAGTTTCAAAATTTTCCTTTTAAAATTTTAAGTTACCGAGTATTTCTTTTCCCAAATCGTTTTACAATACTGTAGGTAAAACAGTATACTATTGTGCAAACCCCACAGAAAAAAAATTAACAAATGGAGACACCAAAAATGTAAAAAAAAAAAATGCTGTCTGACTTGCAACACTGTTGGTAGGGTCAGGTGGTTCTAACGGTACCTGCCAGGACCCGGTAATCAAATTTATAACAATATCTAACCTCAATTACTGTAGTTTATCTGATGTAGGCAATATGAAGTAAAAAATACCAGTTAAAGTGAGAAATTGGAAGAGAATAAACAAGAAAGATGTTGGGCTATTTTTGGTAGGGCTGAGGGAGAGAGTACCAGCTGTTTGGTCTTTTTTGGCGGGAGAGTCACGCAAATATCCGTACTAGTATTTGTTTGGTGTCTTCTGTATTTTTAAAAATGAATACTTGTAAATTAAAAGTACCGTAACATTGTATTATATAAAAACTTGTCATATTTCTGGAAAATAAGAAGCAAGAAAATAAGAATACACCGGTAAACACAATTTCAACGTACGCTAAAATTAAAAGCTGCTTAAGAAGGGCCGATGCAAACACAAAGCCTTCGCGACCAGGGCTCTGCCGTATCAGTTAGACGGTACACGTGTTTTTCGAATCGTTTTCAGTTAAAAAACTTTTACATCACAAGTGAATTAGGATAGAATATTATTGTAATATAACAGTTTTTAACTGAAAACCATTCGAAAAGCGATTACGGTAACATCTTTTGAACGAAAGAAAGAGAGTCATTGTTTTTGTCACGATTTTATCCCACTTTCCACTATAATACGTACGTCATTTCAGCAAAAATATTACATTTCCATATTCTCAGAAATAAATAGTAGTTTTGCTGAAACGTGATGTATTTCAATGTAAATTAGGATAAACTACATGAAAACAAAAGACTTTACCTAACCTTCCGATGTTCAAGAGATGTTACTCGTATTTTTAATAGTTTTTGGTTAAAATACTGTTATATTAGTGATATTCTATTCATACTGTGGTTGATATAATACCTTCACGGAAATGTAATATTTTTTGCTGAAATGACATACGTATTACAGTGGAAAGTGGGATAAAATTGTGATGAAAACAATGACTTTCCCTTTGTTTCGTTCAAAAGATGTTACCGTAATCACTTTTCGAATGGTTTAGTTAAAAAACTGTTGTATTGTATTACAATAATATCCTAATTGACTTGAATAAATATTACGATACCATATTTCTGAATATTTTCATTAAAATCCATCAAAATCATTTTCTTTGTCATCGTCTGCAGCACCAAACAGCTTCTCCCAGTCCTCTCCTTGAACAGGGCTAAAGGGTACACGTGTTTTTCGAATCGTTTTCAGTTAAAAAACTGTTACATCACACGTATATTTTACCTAAACTGCGCCTGAATAAATATATTCTCGGAAATAAATAGTAGTTTTGCTGAAACGTGATGTATTTCAATGTAAAATAGGATAAAATACATGTCGAAAACAAAAGACTTTACCTAAGCTTCCGATGTTCTCGAGATGTTATACGTTTATTTAATAGTTTTCGGTTAAAATTCTGTTATATTACAATGATATTCTATTCATACTGTGGTTGATATAATACATTCACGAAAATGTAATATTTTTTGCTGAAATGACATACGTATTACAGTGGAAAGTGGGATAAAATCGTGATGAAAACAATGACTTTGGCTTTCTTTCGTTCAAAAGATGTTACCGTAATCACTTTTCGAATGGTTTAGTTAAAAAACTGTTGTATTACAATAATATTCCCTCCTAATTGACTTGAATAAATACTTGAATGGAAATATACAATATTTTTGTTGAAACTACCCGCGTTTCAGTGTAAAGTGTCGTGATAATAAATGGTAAACAAGTTTATAGGACGTAGTGTTTCTCTGAAGGTTTTGTTGTTCCTTTACCCTCAAAAACTTGGGTCGACCTATAAACGAGGAATATCATAAATTAACGATTTCTTGGTCATAAAATCGGGGTCGACCTATATACGAAGTGGGGTTATAGACGAGTATATACGGTATGTCCCGGGTAGGATTGAATCACCAACACGTGCACAAGGTGTTTGTGGTACAGTAGAACATCGATTTAAAGCGATTCAATTTAAGATTATTGATTTAAAGCAACACCCACAATTAAGGACAATGTTTTAATTTCTATATACATATCATGTGTCTGCGGTGTCTCCGTAGGTGTTAGCATATTAACGGAATTAATCTCTATTTAGCAAACTAGTTCACTAAAGCAACTGAAAAATAACGGAAAAATTCCTTCCGCTAAATAGAGAGTTCGTTACATCTGGCTCCGTTAAATCGAGAGTACTGTAGTCTATGTAAAAAGCCACCATCACCTAAGGGTTAAACATCCTTAACACAAAAATCAAGTCCATCTTTAAATTTCACCTTTAATGTTTACTTGTGGTCATCCTAACAGCAATGTCAGGAATTGTTATACTGTACAGTAATATCTCCGTTAGCCGAGGTTGAAAATCAAGAGAATTTTCTGAAAATCCCCCCAAAAAGTCTGAAATTATTCTCCAAATTTTTATTTCCAAGTGTGGGAGCAAATTCTGATTACGAAATAATGCGCTACCTGAAAATCTGAGAAAATGCCGAAAAAATATCTCCAAACCTTTCTGCTCCAGGCTTCGGGACAAAGGTTCTGAGCATCGGGAAAGATTGCATCATGCTTAGCTGCTTCCTAACGTGCTGGGTGTGTGGGGTGGGAAGACTGCATGGGTAATGGTGCAATTTTTCCACTCTGGGTCTAGGAACTAATTCAGAGGATGAAATAAAGCAACATCAGAAGAAACTGGCAAGAAAATAACCACACACTTTTTTTGGTACGGGCCTGGGAACCAAGATTCGTGGTAAATGGCGAAATATTGCGTCATACTCCTGGGTCCTCTGTGCGTGGGTGGGGGGAGGCTTGGAAGACACTTGAATAACTTATGTCGTAGGCTCATGTGCTATGATTGGTTAATGCTATCATGTGACCTCATGGGATATCTGTGATAGGCTGAGGCATCTCATAGATGACCCCCCCCCCCCAATCCCAGGCTGGCATCAGGACATACTTAGTTCATTACTTCTTTGTCACCAGCCACTCTAAAATGTTCATCTCTTGCTTGCTCCTATTTTTGTGTAGTTTCTTGTGCAGTACTTTACAATGGACGAGTTGACGGTTCTGGGTAAACACAAGAAATACACTCTGACACGTTCGTGGAGTGACATGGTATACAGTATATAATTTGTAATAAAAGCTTAAAGTCCTGCTATAATAGTCAAGATAAGTTTATTTCTCTAGAAAAAGGGCCGCCATTTGCAATGACGTCACTCCCTTCAAACTCATTGCTGCAGTCGGAGGTAGTAGAAAGGATCTTTGGAAAGGATGGCCTCTTCATACCCCAAATGCCACGTTCAGGTAAGTTTTAAGGATGTTTTTTTATGGTCTAAGTCATGGACATTTCGTAAGTGAAGAAATGTACAGTGAAGAGCAGCTTCAAACATAGGGTGGATGGATATATGAGAGATAGGGGTTGGGTGTAAATGAGACTGCCCAGTATGGGCAAGTTTTAAGGGTGTTTTTTTTATGGTCTAAATCATGGACATTTCGCAAGTGAAAAAATGTGCTGTGAAAAGCAGCTTCAAACATAGGGTGGATGGATATATGAGCGATAGGGGTTGGGTGTAAATGGGACTGCCCAGTATGGGCCAATAGGCCCGCTGCAGTTTCCTCCATTCTTATGTTCTTTTGGATTAAAAACTCTCGGACTAAAAACTCCCATGTTCACACCAGCTCAGCTGTCATGTACTTTTCCCTAGTAGACTTTCTCTTTTATTTTCAGTGCATTTACAGAGTATATCAGTACTAG